TTGAGAATTTTAAGTCTTTGCTATTTCCGTGGCCCGTGAGAGTGAGTTAGGGCTATTGTGCAGATCCTGGACCCATTTTCGTAATTCTTTTATGCTTCAAGGATTTTGATAGGGAAAACAAAGAAAATGAAATGGAAAACATGTTTGTTAGAGAGGAAAAGATAAGAAAAGTGGAAGGAGAAGAAAATGATAAACTAAGAAGAGGGAAAACATGATTCCTTCCATTGTGGCGAGGAAAATGAGAGAAATTATTCTTTGTTTCCTTTTCTTCCTAATTCCTTGAACCAAACATAGTGTTAGGATGCAGATTTTCATTTTAGCTTATTTCGAACCCTGACGAGTGTATTTGGGTATGTTGTTGTGTGTATGGAGTATTACTCTGGTTTTGACTTTTGAGGACAGATTGAAGTATGCCAAATTATTTATAGGCCGGCTCAGAAAAGATATTTAATGAGTTTTGACATTGGTACTAATTGTTCTCTTTGTTGTGTCGTGCATGAAGGCCTAATTTATCTTTTTGATTTTCTGTCCATACTGCAGGTGCTGGTACTTCTAGTCGTCCTAAAACTTTTAAACGGGTATTTTTAATGAATATATTTATTTGAATTCCGACATCATAATTTCTTATTGATAAAAGGCTTAAAAGGGTGTGGCTGGCACTTGATATGATAAGTACTATGCAATGACAATTTAAGATACCTTGTTAGCTGTTACACATCTCACAATTACTCCCTCCGTCCCAAATTAAACTTCTCATTTATTTTTTCACGGAGTTTGAGAAAAAGTAAAATTGTGTGGTTGAGATTTATGAAGAGGAAGGAAAAAGTAAATCAATCAATACTTACTTTAAAAAGAAATGATAAGTTTATTTTTGGACAAAAAAAATGTTAAGTGAGAAGCTTTTTTTAAGACGGAGGGAGTAATTTAAGCAAAAAAAAAGAAAGAGGAGATACCTTATTTCCAGGAATTCCGGCTTATTTTCGCTCCTTCAATTTCTTCAGGAAGAAGCTGAGGATGATGAGAGATCCGAGTCTGAAGAGGAATTTGAAGAGTCAGAGGATGAATCAGAAGTAAGCACTCTCTTTATGATTGCTGTTTTAGTGTTCTTATTGTTTCATTTAATTTTCCACTTATAGGGACATTAGGGAGTGTGTGACCTCTCTAACATTATATTGTTAAATTTGTTATGATATGTGGAACAGAAGCAGAAGGGTGTTCAGGGTATCATTCAGATTGAAAATCCTAATTTGGTTAAGCCTAAAAATCTGAAAGCAAAAAATGTGGATGTAAGTTAAATGGCTATTTTTCCTGCTCTCTTCTTGACTTTGTACTGTTAATTTTCAAATGAAGTGTTTTATTTTAAATAATACTTTTTTCTATGAAATGTGTTTCCTATTTTGCAGATTGATAAAACCACCGAACTTTCAAGACGTGAGAGGTGTGTGAATTATCAGGATCTTACCACAGTATAAAGTTATTTGTACACGATATATGCTCTTCTTACTATTATTATTATTTAAAATCTTGCATGTAAATCTTTCTTGATCAGGGAAGAGATAGAGAAGCAGCAAGCTCATGAACGGTACATGAAGCTCCAAGAGCAAGGGAAGACAGACCAAGCAAAGAAAGATTTAGGTATCTATTTGTGTTTGACGCTAGGTTTATTATGCTGAAGTTAACTACAAATTCCAGCCTAAAATTGAGGATTGTGTTTCACAAGAGTCATTTCATTGAATTAAGCTAATATTTCATGTAATTGGCCAAAAAAGATGACAAGAACGTCTACAATGGTTGCCTTAGACTTTTAGTTAAACCAACAAGTTAATTTAACAATTAAAGATTTTGTGACTTTGAGTGGTTGTAACTTGTTAAAATCAAAAGGCTTTAACTTGATCAAATGAGAGCCTTCTATATTTTTTGACGGATGGAGTATTGTTTGGATTTGTGCATGCACAGAGTTTTGCAAATATATTTTCTTGCATGAGTTTATAGTGTTAATTAATAATACCTCCCTCCGTGACTCTGTCTCAGAACAAGGTTTCACATTTGAATCTACACAATTATTACGTAGTACAAAAGCTTAAATTTTGTGGTTGAGACTTATGGAGAGGAGAGAGAAATCATGTGAATTACATAATTCTTACCTTAAAAAGAAACAACAACCAATCTAGTATGCAGACCTTACATACATAGAAAAGGTAGAGAGACTAATTTTGAACTCAAGCATAAAAGAGAAACAAAAACATCTCACTATATGTAAGTAATCCTGGAGGGCCTGGTCACAAGCAACCACCAATCATATCAACACTTACCTTAAAAGGAAAGTGAAACCTTATAGAAAACTTGGAAGCCTTTACTGGGAAAGAGGGAATATTAGATAATTAAATGTGCGTCGTATGCATGCGGCGGAGATGCGGATGTTACGATGGATGTGTTGGAAGACAAGGTTGGATAGGATTTCGAACGAAGTTATCCGACGTCAGGTAGGCATGGCGCCGGTGGAAGATAAGTTGCGGGAAGCGAGGTTGAGATGGTTTGGTCATGTGAGACGGCGGGATGCTGACGCCCCTGTACGGAGATGCGAGAGGATTACGGTTATCGGGGGAAGTAGGGGAAGGGGTAAACCTAGGAAGAATTGGAAGGAGGTGATTAAGCAGGATTTAGGACTTCTCACCCTGACTGAGGATATGGCTTTAGATAGGAACCTTTGGAGAACTAGGATTAGAGTAGCTGGGTAGGAGCTCGGTGCTGCAGAGGTTTTTTGTAGTGTGTTGTGTTTGATTGAAATCTTTTGCTATTGCTTGCAGGACTTTCATTTCATTGTACTTGGTGCTTTATCCGTGTTATACTGTGTTCCCTACCATATTTTGTGTGCAGGTTGAGCCGGGGGTCTCTTGGAAACAGCCTCCCTACTTCCGAGTAGGGGCAAGGTCTGCGTACACACACCCTCCCCAAACCCTACTGAGTGAGATTCAACTGGGTTGTTGTTGTTGTTGTAAATGATGCCATAAATATCATGCCACTTACCCCGACGTAGTTGGGAACTTGGGATTAAGGCGGTGGTGGCCGTGTTTTTTAGGGGTTTGAGATCACTTCAAAACAATGTTGGAATTAGTTTTTACTGCCAATTTTCAATTTTTCCCTTCGCCCTTCGTATTCGGGATTAAGATGGAAAGGAAGCAACTCACGTTAATGCTATAATCAGTTAATAGTACCTTCAGTCTTCTCCTTCCCACCTAACTTTTAATCTTACTTGAACTTGCAGAACGTTTAGCCATGATAAGGAAACAAAGAGAAGAAGCTGCAAAAAAGCGAGAAGAGGAGAAAGCTGGTATTGTATTTTTCAGAATCTCGTCAAATTTACTCCGCTTCATTCGTACTTTTGAGTCAATAATTTATTTGGTCCCTCGAGTCTTGACTATACCCTATTGCTCAATCTGGGGCTTTTATTTAGTAGCTCTTGGTATTTTTTATCGTACTCTCTTTTTGGACTTAATTTCGGCCTTCAATGCCTTTTGGTACTTTTTGTCCAGTGAACTGGTTTCTGTCATCGGCTCCACCTAGTTTTATGTTTTTGTTTTGAAGATTTTAGTATGCTATTCAAGGCAGGTATCCATGAACCATCAGAGTGGATGAAAATGCCCTTAACCAAAGCCAAACATGTCTTTGAACTTGGAACCATGTAAATGTGTCCAAATTACATACCTAACGACGAATACCACATTCAAAAAATGTCACATATCAAATGGATAAATGTTCACTACACATGGGATTAAGTTGGATATAAACTCTTGAGTTTTATCAAATCATACTCCATATTTCACATGCTGTTATTTATACTGTGCAGCTAAAGAACAGAAGAAGATCGAAGCTCGGAAATGAGTTCTGATTGAAGAATTCAATAAGCTTTTTACCCAGGTCCTAGTCATACCTATTTCTTTCATATTAAAGTACACTCTAAGTACCTTATTGGGTTGTGCAAGTTTTTTTTATAATATGCTGCCTTAGATTGCTGTAATTGCAGAAGCTGGTTTCAGCTATATGTCCAATACTTCTATTGATGTGCCTGGATTTTTAGTTATATATGGTTTTATCTATATCCATTATTACAACGCGATGATTGGGAATTCGGAATATGGTCCTCAAAGATGACTACTCGATGGTTCATTCAGCGTTTCAACCTGATTCCGAGGTCGGGAATTAGAAAGAAAGCGTGAAGTGAATAAATACGGAGTAATTTTTTTATTTAAAATTTTACACTTCTATTCCAAATGATTGAATTGAAAGTAATTTTAGTCTAAAAAGGGATGGAGAAAATGAGGACATTTAATTACTTTTTGGAATGTCAAAGTATAGTCATACTTTTATGCAAGTCAGAGCGCTCGAAATACTCCTAAATCCTCAAAGGCTTCAAACCAGTACTTCAAAATTTTTTTCTTTGCCATGTCAGCTTTAACTTGTCTCACAGTTTCTCTAGAAATGGGTGGCTTCAAATCCTTATTTTTTACATTTTTAATACACATTTTGTAAAATTAAATTAATAAGATTTTATTAAATAATTGAATTTAAATGATAACAATTTACTCCGTATTAAATAAAAAATTACATATAAAATTACAAGTTTTTGAAGAAAAAAATACATTAATAAAATAAGATTTGAATAACAACATAAAAAAAAAATTAAAAATAATATTACATTACGAAGAATGAGAGTTTTTCTTTCATCGTTAGATGATCTTATTTTTTTTTAGTATTTTGTAGAGAATTAAAATTATGTTACTTATAATGTGTCAAAATTCATACTCCATCCATACTTATTTAACTGTTTGGTTTGCTTTTTGAATTTAAAGTTTCACCAACATTGTCTTTTCAAATATATTCACAAAATATTATTTAAAATGATACACTTAAAATATTTTTTGATATTAATAGCTTGGTATAATTTTTATATATTAATTCAGTGTATATCTATATATATATACTTAGTCAAATATTTGACACGTAAAATGAAAAAGACACTTAAGAATTGAGGGAGTAGTTAATAGCACTAGTACTTTGCTCAAATCGTTCATGCTTGATGTTTCAGTCCAATTTCCCATAATAGTAATGATTTCAGTCCAATTTTGCACGGAGTATAATATTTTCTCGAATCAAGGTTACATATTTCCATATTTGGCATAACCAGATCACTAAAGTTGTTATGGAGTCTAACACTTTTTTGCCTACACGGGTAGCTTAAATGATCATGCACGAGGAGGAGTGTTAAGTCCAAAATTTCAAGATCAATTCCTGGCAACGGAAGCACGGAAGTTATATCAATTATCTAGTGTGATAGTTCATTGTGCGCATTCGACACAGAACAACCTCTCGAAGTACCAAACTAAGACCATGTCATGATTTACATTCTCACTACTTTGTTAGGTCGAGGTGTGGGGCGCGAACAATATTCTCACGTGCCAGAGGTGAGCATTCCGCATTCTTCTTTTTTGTTATAACACTTCAACCTTTAAATCAATTTTTCAATCTTTTGATTTGCTTTTACACTCCCTCTCAATTATTTCAATACACCTATTTTTTTCTTTTTACCCCCTTTTATGAAAAAAAGATGAACTTCATCCTCGAAGGCCCCGGACGATCATTGAGAAGAAATGAATTAGAGTCTGATTGCAGATTGGCAGTAAAGAATAGAGTCTGCATCTTGTACTTTGCAGAGACTCTATGCTTAACAAAGTTGCATCCAACGCAGTTGTCAGAAATCAAACTTGAATCTTACCTCCTTGACACATCTTGTCTTTTGCCAACTGCAGAACGCCCACCGACTTTTTAGTCGCTTTTACACTCCCTTGTTTCACTTTCAATTACATCACATGAATGTCACAACAGGGAAAATTTTTTAAGAGTCAGCATGCATCACTTTAAGATTTGTCTTAATCTGTGTAATGTGAACCTTAAACTATATAATGAATAATGCATTACTAATGAATGAATGAATAATTATCCAGAGGAACAACACCCGGTTTTCTTAACCGCGGAAAGCTCATCGTCCCTGTTCCCGATGTTGATGGTCTGCCCCTTGGGCAACGCCGACGGGTCGTCGCCGGCGTCGAGGCTCTTCTTGCTGACGACGCGGTAGATCTGAGTCAGCACCTCCGTGAAGGCGGTCTCGACGTTGACAGCCTCCAGGGCGGAGGTCTCCATGAAGAAGGTGCTCTCCCTCTGGGCACCGCGCGCAGGTGGCGGAGGTCGGACTTGTTGCCGGCGAGCATCACGACGATGTTCTGGTCGGTGTGGTCCCGGAGCTCCTTCAGCCACCGCTGCACGTTCTCGAACGTCACCTTCCGAGTTATGTCGTACACCAGTAAGGCTCCCACCGCTCCTCTGTAATATGCACTCGTTATTGCACGGTACCTTTTTGAAAACAAACAAACAAACCATCACAACCTTGTAATTAATATGAAACCCCAAATTACGTTACCCATAAAAATAATTTAGTAGAATTCCACAAAAGTAGAATCTACTTTTTGAGTAGGGGCAAAGCATGCGTACACACACTCTAAATCTTACTCTCGTGAAATCTAACTAAATTATTGTTCCAGTGTAAAAAACAAAACTCAATCTACCTCTTTCCAAGTTACTGTTTTGACTGGTCGTGTGAGATCTTAGGACGTGATTCATCCTTTTTGCAAATTAAATTATGCTCCGGTATGCAAAATCTCATCTCTTAAAATTATTTTATACGAGTATATAAATTGATATAGAAATAAAAAAATTAAACTTATATATTTCAATATACATCAAAAATTTTACAAAACAAGTGATAACATAACTATTTTATTGTATTAAATGAAAAATGAAAATGCATGCCTAAACAAAAGTTATCGATAAGCCCAGAATTTGACTGAGATGGATCAATAAGAACCATTGTTTTTTTCTTTTCAAAAAACATTCCCTTCGCCCCAAAATATGTACCATATTATGCAAAACAAGGAAAAACTTTAAGTTCTTTAAATTTATTTTATTTTAAGGTTGCATAAAAATAAAAAAATAAAATTACACATTTAAACATTACGTCAAAAGTTCTTAAAAACTAAGATAGAGACATGCCCAAAAATTTAAGTAATATGAAAGAAAACAATTTTTAAAGATGTCGGAAGTAAATAAAAAATGAGTTGTGCTATTGTTGTCCAAATGTCCACGCGTCAAATGTAGACCTTTCCAATATTTTCTATGGAATCATAATTGAATCTCCTTTTTTATATGACCCAATAAATATAATCTTTTTATGTATTAAAGTTTGCCGTGAAAAATGCATAGTATATTGCATAGGAATATAGGAGTAATATTTTTTCAAAACAAGAAGGTATGGGTTTGAATCCGTTGTAACAGAGTCAATAATGTTTTAAAAAAAATAAAGAAGCAATATTTGAATTTCCTTTACAAGATATATCTAATAAAATAGAGTAAATTCCATAATTGGTCCTTTATAACAGGGATGTTTCCCTATTTAGTCCTCTATTATCAAATATTACCCCAGTGGTCCTTCTTTTATGGGTATCTTTCTACAAATAGTCTCTTTTTTGATCTTTTATCATGTTGGTATTAATTTGAGGGCTAAAAGTGTTATTTCACAATGATAATATATCTTTTTTGTCATACACAATTTCAAAGGTTGTTCCGTTTGCGTTGTTTGTGAATTACATTTGCTTTCTACTACAACCATAGTCTACAAATGTGGTCTTCCATCAGAATCCTAGCTTACAATCATAGTCATTATTTTTGTGTTATCCGCTTAACCAATATCAGAACACGTCACTTGACATAATGTTAATGTCAAATTATACTTTTAGCCTTTAAATTAACACCCACATAGCGGATTATTAAAAAAAAAACCATTTGTGGAAAGACACCCTTAAAAAAAGGACTACGAAAGTAATATTTGATAATAAAGGACTAAATATGAAAACTCCCTTGTTATAAAGGACTAATTATGGAATTTACTCAATAAAATAAGGAGTATTCAGGTAATCTTTATATTGAGATGCAATACAGGGAATAATTTTTATATATATATATATAAATACTCCGCATAAATGTATGATAAAAAATACGGAGTAAAAAATACCTTTCTTGGCCGGCGGTGTCCCAGATCTGAGCCTTGATGACCTTATCGTCGACCTGAATGGTCCGAGTGGCGAACTCGACGCCAATGGTGGATTTTGACTCGGAGCTGAACTCGTTCTTCGTGAATCGGGACAACAGATTCGATTTCCCGACGCCGGAGTCCCCTATCAACACCACCTTGAACAGATAATCGTAATCTTCGTCCGATCTATATGCCATTTCTTCTCCTCCTTCTTCTAATTATTGTTCTTGTTAATTATTTAATTAATTAATTTTCTCTTCTCTAATGATAATAATTTAATAATCGGATCGATGAATTGGAAATGGATCAATCCATCAAAAATGGAGAGTTTGGAAGTGGATCCCTCAAGGAGGGAGATGATGAACAGTCTTTCCCCTGCCTTAATTTGCTTATTCCGAATACTTAGCATTAACGGAACGAGTAATAATATCATTCACACGTTTAATTTGTACTACCGCTCTTAATTTTATTTTATTAGTTAAGAAATTCAAAAAAAAATGTCTTTTATATAGTTGAATTTGTTGTAAATAATTTCCAGAGCATTTAATTAATGAAATTTATTCAAACACAGTATGTAGGGTCCCCTGGTCATCGAGTTACATTGAGTCGGGTAAGTTCGGGTTATGAACAGCATATTCATGACCCAGATCCAACGAGTCCGGGTTGACCCAACGAATTATGACCTTTATTTTTAAAACATTAAAGTTTATGCTAACATTTACATTTTGTTTTAAAAATACTACCTTCTTTCCTGACTATTTTTTCAATTTTAGCTTTTTAAGTAAACTGTTTTCAACTCTTAACTTATAATTAAGTATATAATAAATTTAATAAAACTATTTTTTATCAATATCTAATATCATTTTATTTAATTTGATATCAAAATTTATAAATTTTGATTGAAAAAAGTCAAAAGTAGATAAATAGTCAGTAACGAATAAAGTAATAACGAAAATACTTATAATGAAGTTCTTAAAATATTTTATTTTGAATTTTAATTAATTTTGAGATATATTCAACAACATCATGAATGATATAAAAAAATAGTGAATAAACTTTATTTCATTGACACTGTTGTGAATCGAAGTACTTTGGGTTCACACTTTTTAGTTTTAATTGATTATTAGTGTTATTGTAAGTCAAATTGTGATTGGTGATTAAATACTGACTGACACAAAATGGGGCTAATAATTCTTTCCTCTTTTTATGATTATATTAAATTACGGAGTATTATTTTCTTGCATTTTTTCCTTAATTTAAAATGCCCATATACTCCCTCCATCCGGAAATAAAGTTTATGTTTTGACTTTTGATCATTTTTATTGAATGTTGACTTTAGGATGAAAATGTCCACAATACCCCTCCTCATCCCTTTCCCTGTTTTTTCTTTCGCCCGAAGACCACAATACCCGATCTACCAGCATCACGGGGCAACTAGGAGCCCCACCCGGCAACCAAACTCCAGCCTCACAATAAGCCCCGCACCACCACCGTAAGCACCCGTCGACAACTGCAATGGAAAGAGCTTCACGATGAAGCAAATCTACGAGGAGGTGAAGCTCAACGACCATAAAGCTGACCCGCTCACTACCTCCAGCGAAAGATCGAATGCAATTTTAACAAGATCTGAGCGAAGGTGAAGCAGAAAAAGAAATTTCAAAAGAAATCATCATTTCCTGTCTTTAACACCCTTTCACCTCCAATCCGCATGCTCTAGTCCATGTGAAGCAGAAATAGTGCTTGTTCAATGAGGCAGAGGCTGGAGGCAACGAGGAGTCCAAAGAGAAGAAGAAGAAGAAGAAGGGGAAGGGGAAAGAGAGGGAGAGAGAGAGAAGAAGAAGATGAAGGGGCAGGAGGAAAATTGAGAGAAAAGGAGCCAAAAATGGGGAGGGTATTTAGGGTACTTTGGGTGTTAAAAATTGAAATGTAAACTTTATTTCCGAACGAAGAAAAATTAGAAACGTAAACTTTATTTCCGGACGGAGGGAGTAACTTTTTGTTTAGTTTCTTGAGAATATTGCATTTTAATGTTTGTGAAGGTGAGCCTCACACAGTTACACTTTTCAAATGTTGTATATTTTACACAAATGTTGTATATTTTCACACATTAAATGATTTTATTTAAATGTTTTATGTTTAATGGGCATGCGGCTTTGAGTAGTTTTGTGTTTGTATACTAGTTGTGTTTCACACATTAAGTAATTTTAATTAAATGTGTTTCACTAATATTCCTTGTCTATGACAAATATGACACATAAGTGTTTATGCATCAAACATAATGAAGAAGAAAAATAACACTTCAACCATCAAATATGTCAAATATTCCAGTATCAAGAAAATTCACCTCTTTCCCATATAATAATAAAAAATCTACGATATGAAAATTTGGTAAAATAAACACTAAATTTGTGCATTTTGTAATTTGGTCACACAGATATTTTACGATTTCTTCTTAATTATTACATTGTAAAAACAAAAGTTATATGCATAACGTAATGTATGGTCACATAGATAATAAATGTCTGTAATTCATTAGAAACAAATGTTTAATGTCTGTGTACATGTATAAAAATTAAATCCGTCAAATATACCACGTAATTGAACATAAAGAACATTTCACAACTTCTCTATATTGTAAAAAAAGTTAAAAATTACCACTACTTAGTTACATAGACATTATATGTAGTGCAACCTGGATGAAAATTTCACACGTTAAATATGCAAAATCATACTCTATCAAGAACATTTAACAAATTTCTTATGTTTAAGCAAGGAGGAAAAAAACTTCATCAACACTATTCAGTTACATAGACACTAAAATTTTGTAAGTGTTTTAAACAGATATTTATTGTCTGTGTACTCTAAAAATTGCACCACCATCTCTACTAAAATCTATTGCTCCGGCGGAGGACGCCGATGAACTGATTCTGGTGTCACGTCTTCAAAGAAATCTTCCTTCGACGCCTTTGCCGCCATGCTCCAGATCTTGACGGACAATTTCCTCCACTATGGAAGAAGAGATATGTGGCGGCGACCGAGAAAGAGCAGCGGCAATGCTATTAGTAAAGAAGAAATTAGTGGCGGAAATTGCCGATAAAGACCCCACGGCGCGCAGCTTATAGGACGGCTACGAGAAATGGAGGGGCGGGAAAGATGAAGCCATGTCGGGATGATCTCCGATAAAGAAGAAAATAGAGAGAGAGAGAGAGAGGGAGAGAGAGATGGGATGAGAGAGAGGGAAAATGCACAGAGGTGAGATGGAAAGATGATGGAGAGAGAATAAGAAGTGTTGGGGTATATGGGGTACAAATATAATGGGGCTCGGTCCAAATTTATATTGTGATATTTGCCTTGTGTGTTATTTTCACGAAAAATGCTAGGGGTACACCAAACACCTTTGGTGTACCCCATTTATCCCTCACCTTCTCCATTACCACAAAAATGAGTAAGAAACTAAAATAAAATTAAATAAATAAAAATGGGGTTAAAATAAGTGGTAGAGAAAGGGGTGGGGGATAAATGGGGTACACTAAATGGTGTACCCCTAGCATGGCTCTATTTTCACCAACTTCAATTCATTATTACATTTTAAAATGCAATTGGTAATAGACAACCTAAGATAGGCCTATGATGGCCTTGTGTTTTGGTGTGATAGTATTTTGTTGTAACAACAGAAATGCAAAATTATATGGGGACTACACCTTATTACTCCCTCCGTCCCAGTATATTTATCCATTTTTATTTTTACACATCATCCAATATACTTTTTTAATCCATTTTATTTTGTAAGTTGTATATTAAAAAATTCTAGAAATTATATATTAATAATCTATTCCGTATATGTTAAGATAAATGAAACAAGATCACACATGACTATATTTAGGCTTACACATTAAGAGAATTTGATTAGTCAAAGTGCTTAGATGAACAGTTCCAAAAGTCAAAAGTGGACGAATATAGCAGGACGGAGGTAGTATAAGTTATCATTAGCATGATATATATTCCTTCCGTCCTAATTTATAGTGTCTGTTTCAGTTTACGATGTTTGACTGAAATTATTTTCATATCATTTTATATGACAAATGGTATAGAGTTAAAAAAATAAAATTATATATTAAAATACTACACCAAAAGATCTACAAAACTAGTAGTGACAATAATACTTTATTTCATCAAATTGCTAACGAAAATAGAGAAAGAAGATGAATGAAGTTTGACTCCGTGAATAATGAACATGCACCATAAATTGAGACGGAGGAAGTATTATCTATTTTGAATCAAGGTTTCACGATTTTTTTTTTTTTGAAAACTCTCCAAAATGCTTCAAAGCTAATGGAGTTGATTGTCTAATATGCTAGGGATCATAAGTACGTATAGGAAGGGAAACACTTATGAGAGCAAAAACTTTTGGATTGAAAACTTAGTATTTTGGAAAATTATGAATAAGAGCTCTCTTCGTCTCAATCACTTTATCGATTTTACCTTTGTTACAAAGACCGGTGAGAAGATACAAAAAGACCTAATTGCCATTGGTTGAATTTAATAAGTTGATGAGAGTATTAAATTAAATATGAAAAAATAGGGGTAATATAACAATGTTAGTATATATTTCTTTATCATTTATGGAAACTGGACGAAAAAGGTTGAGATATTCTAAAAAGCAAAAATATACTCAAACTGACTAGGATGGCGGGAATAATATTATCGTAACATTATAATAAGGATTATCGGATAGGTTATTAAAAAATAGTGTGCCTCATAAGAAATGGAATTTTATCAACAAAAAAAAAAGGAAAAGAAAGCAACAAGTCAAACCACCAAACACTTTGTGAATGTGATTAGTGCATGTAAATGTGATTAGTGCGTGTACACGGATATGTACATTGTGGGACAAGAACTTATCACCATTCCGTTGTAGTCTAGTTGGTTAGGATACTCGGCTCTCACCCGAGAGACCCGCGTTCAAGTCCCGGCAACGGAATATATATATTTTATTTCCCTTTGTTCGGAAATTGTACTCCTAAAAGAAGGGAAATGAAAATGGCTTTGACTTTTGTTTTTTGTGCAGATATGATACATAATGATAAATCAAGGAAAAATTACTTGAAATAATCTCACACCTTCACGTCCTTTAAAAAATAATTTCACATTTTTACATGTTTCCAAAAAACAATTTCATTTCCCGGCAACGGAATATATATTTTTTATTTCCCTTTGTTCGGAAATTGTACTCCTAAAAGAAGGGAAATGAAAATGGCTTTGACTTTTGTTTTTTGTGCAGATATGATACATAATGATAAATCAAGGAAAAATTACTTGAAATAATCTCACACCTTCACGTCCTTTAAAAAATAATTTCACATTTTTACATGTTTCC